TCTATCTATCTATCTATCATTCATTTATATATCTATCTATCTATTCAAAGGTTTTTTTGGCATTCTGACAGAATTATGATTGCATATTTGCATTTGTTATCCAACCAAATTTAACTTGACTTTAACTGAAAATGTCATCTCAGTGCAATGGTATATTAGTATTTTAATAGGCCAGTATGAGATGTTTTCATTTCCATTATAACCATCAGTCACCCAAGTCAGTTACCCATGGGGTTATACACTTCTTTTCATGCAGTGGCGTATACATTTGCAGGATTGCAGTGAGTTTATTCATTGCAGTGACATTATGGCACACAGTCTTGTCAATATAAACAGTGCCCTGCAAAAGTCTTTGCTGTTTTGCTTTTAACACATTTTAGAAGGTATTTTTATTTTGATCCTGTGTAGTTTGTCTTGTTTAACCCCCTTAATAGTTTGTTCCCAAGTGCTACAGATACAGAAGCATTTCTCATCTTTCAAATGTCACATTTGATTGGGTAATGTCTCTGAAAAATGTTTTATTTTCCAAATGATTTTTTTCATTTATTGTCTTGTCTGCCAGCACATCTAAGACAGGGGACCCTCCCTTGATGGAACTACTATGTTCAGATATTAGATGTTTGTGTCACAAGCCCAAAGAGATGGAATATGATTATGCAAACTTGACTTCTGTTATTTTTTTTTATGTATTTTCACGATTGTCTACAAATTTGTGTTCCCTTTGACTGCATTATATGGTTTCATTGGAACAAACTTTGATGCCAAAATGTGACAGTGTCTGTATTTTATTATAACTTGATATGTTTTGTATCTTTAATAACACTGTTCAGTCAGTTTGTCCCAGAGATGTCCAGTGGCATATCATATGCTGGTAGATTTCACCAAAGGATCAGACTTTTAGAAAAAAAATAAGAAACTTGATCTTGCTATGGCAGGCTGGCAGGACACCACCACCCATGGCCTTGTTTATGAATTTTAATTGCTAAAGGGAATTGATTAATTTGTGTTGGCACATTTTATCTGTCTATCACTGCTTCTCTTGCTCTTTCTCTTACATCCCCCACACAACAGTATACAGTAAGACTGCTTCCCACCAGACACTTCACAAAGTATTGCATCCCTTTTATCATAAAGGCTTTGCAGCTCAGCTTAAGAAAGCAGAGCTTTAAATCCAAGCCAGTGCAACGTACATCCTGCTGTAGAATGAACACAGTTTAACCTCACTTAAGTCCAAGCTAGGGATGTTCTGCTTTAGGTGGCATGTGCGTATGTGTTATTTGTTAAAGCAGCAGTAATGAAGGAGACAAGCGTGCAGTGACGTGAAACAAGGCATTACACAGAAAAGGATGATGAATGAAACATATTAACACCCTATTCTGTTGGAAACCTTCTTGACAAGTGTAATATGTTTCTTTCTAATAAGGATCTTGTAGTGTGGCCTCTGGCTGTACAAACTAAAATGTATAAAATCTGCGCCTCTCAGCTAGGGAGGCTGGGGAGAAGCAGCCATGGGGTATAATCAGCAATGAGCAATGAAAGGAGAAAAGGCAGCATTGGGCAGTCCTTTCATAAAAAAAAAAGCTAAATTGGTAATGACACTGGAAGTGAAAATAACTTTTCCAGAGATGATTATACCGGATGATAGTTTATTACAATAAACAAAATGGAAGTGACGTGTGCCGTTAGGAGCTGGAAGTGTATCAGAAAGAAAATAATTGCTCCATTTGAGAGCCTGGGCTGGTAGCTGGATGAGCACATCAGCTTTAGAAACAAGTTGTGACCTACTGTTGCAGGACCACAGCACACATCTGCATGCTGTCAAACACACACAGATACACACAGTAAGAAGGATTCAGAAACACCAGAAAGAGACGGACACCAAATAAATAATAAATAAATGAGGCACGGGATTACTTCAAAATAAGTTGACAGCGTTCCACTTATGTGGTTTCTGTGTGTTAGAAAAGTGCACAAGCAAAGCTTTGATCTATTTTAAGGTGATAACCAACATTTGAGCAAGTATCAACTACTCTGAACCCAGATTGAACGTTATGAGATAAACTTTATTGAGAATATATTCATCCAGCAACCTTCTCATCAGTCTTATTTCTTTTAGTAGCTTTTGAGATCTGATAATATTTAAGTGAGCTCTTCAATCCTATGGCTTCATCCATCACATTCTCAATGATAGTATTGTTTCTTATCTGGTCTGAACTTACTCAAGGGAAGGGATTGAACCGGGCTAGGCTCTGAAGATAAAAACATCACTCAGAGAGACACCAATACAGCTGTTTTCATCGACTGCCAGACTTTGATCAATGCTGTTGTCACTCTGATACCAGCCATCACAGTATGTCTAGAAGTATTGTCTTTAATAAAGCTTCAGGGGAACTGTCAACACCTGCATGCTCAGTAAGACTGATGCGAATAGCAAACAAATAAGTTGGCAGAATCACTGAAATGTATTGTATTTGGGATGGTAAATACAAAGAGTGACATCATACCGTGATGAATCATGTTAGAGGGCTGACAGCCCGGTTTCACAAATTCCAATAATTATTGTAATCACTTGAATATGTGCACTTAAAATGAAAATAGCATGGTCAGTGCCTGAGAGAAATGTATTTCCTCAACATAAAATAATGAATCCATGCAAGAGAAATTATGAGAAACAGACGGTAATTTAATTCTACAAAGGAACATAAGAAGTATAAGCGTGGCAGATGAACATGTACATTATCTTCACCTCAACATAGTGAGAGTCTCCTCACAACAATGTTGCAAAATGTTTTCTACTGTTAGTGAGGCTAGGCATAATGTATACTGTTATAGTTTTGTTTTCTGTAAAAGCTTTACTTATTTAATTCCAGGCAAGAACCTAGACCAAACCAAATATATATCGAATAAATATCTTCTTTTTTGGGCAAAAAGTAATATATATTTGTTCATGCATAGTCTATATAGCATATAAAACATAGAATATGTCCTTTGATGTAATTAAATGTAATTTGTCACCTTCATCAATTGTGCATGCTCAGTTTGCTGCAAAAGGGAAAATTAAAATACAATATTTTTCTACGTACTGGGTTTTAGTGCAATCAAAAGATAATAAAGGGTAAAAAATGTTGATT